CCCCCCGAGCCTGTTGAACCGTCACACCCTCCCTGGCCCCAGCTTCCCTTCCTGGGCCCCCTCTGACCCCAGGATGAAAAAAGGAGGCCCGCCTTTCGGCCTGGGGGTGCCGATCTTCCTGTGGCCAGACCCTTCCACCACATTTCTGACGAGACAAGGGCGGGGGGAAGGTGCAGTACCTGGTGGGCGGACAATGTACAATTTGTATATTTTCAAACAACTTTGTACAGATCAACCACGCTGATTAAAAACAAAAAAGTCAAACCACAGAACGTGAGACGGTGCAGTGCTTTCCCCTCCCCCCCCCCTCAAGAAGCCCCAAAGGAGTGAAACTGCCCCCAGCTCATTCCCTTTGCCGGAAAAGCCCCAAGTCTTCTCTCCCAAGGTGGTCAATGGGGGAGAGAGAGAGAGAGTCCGAAGGCTCTGGGGAGGGGCCGTGGCTCAGTGGCAGAGCATCTGACTGGCACGCAGGAGGTCCCAGGTTCAATCCCAGGTAGCATCTCCAGTTAAATGGACCTGGCAGGAGGTGATGTGAAAGACCTCCGCCTGAGACCCTGGAGAGCTGTAAAGAGGGGGCGTGGCTCAGTGGCAGAGCCTCTGCTTGGCATGCAGAAGGTCCCAGGTTCAATCCCCGGCATCTCTAGTTAAAAAGGACCAGGCAGGAGGTGATGGGAAAGACCTCCACCTGAGACCCTGGAGAGCTGTAAAGAGGGGCCGTGGCTCAGTGGCAGAGCCTCTGCTTGGCATGCAGAAGGTCCCATGTTCAGTCTCCGGCATCTCCAGTTAAAAAGGACCAGGCAGGAGGTGATGGAAAAGACCTCCGCCTGAGACCCTGGAGAGCTGTAAAGAGGGGCTGTGGCTCAGTGGCAGAGCCTCTGCTTGGGATGCAGAAGGTCCCAGGTTCAATCCCCGGCATCTCCAGTTAAAAAGGACCAGGCAGGAGGTGATGGGAAAGACCTTTTCTTTGCCTGAGACCCTGGAAAGCCGCTGCCAGTCTGAGTAGGTGAGACTGACTTCGATGGACCCGGGAGGGTCTGATCCAGTTATAAGGCAGCTCCACGTGTGTGTGTGTGTGTGTGTGTTGTGCAAAGAGGTCTTCAGAATGGCGTCTTCCTTGCAAGCTCGAGTCGACTGGGCAGGGAGAAAGACACGGGAGGTCCACAGAAGGGCAGCTTTTGTTTCCATCGCGAACCTTCCATGACCCGCCCGGCTGTCTAGTGAGGGCCTGGCCTGGTGGGTGACGGGGATGGAGGGAACCCCAGGCCTTCCCAGACTCCCGCTTTGTGACGTGGGTGGCCAGGGATCATACAGCCCACGCTGCCCTAGGAGAACCAGGAGCTGGCCAGGTTGGAGAGCGTCTGTCTGCTGGGGGAGGCTCAGAGGCACGCGCTGGCCGGGGGAGGGGGGAGGGCGCAGCTGCGCACTGTGCCACCGTGCCAGGCGGGAAGGCGGGCTGAGGATGCACACACTCATGCTCCGAGCACCTTGGCACGGCTGGCGCTCCCCACGGCTCCAAAGCACATCCGTCGCCAGGAGGGGAGAGGGAGGCCCCGGCTGGCCCCACATCTTGGGGGGGGGGCCCTCCCACTCTAGGCACCCGGACCAGTGGGATGGAGCCCTCACTTCAGCGGGCGGGCGCCCCCATCCTGCCCACCCTGGGGCTGCCCTGCTCATGGATGCCCTGGGCACAGCTGCAGCTCCCCCCCCCCCAAGGAGTCCGATGGTGCCAGAGAGAGGAGCTGCCTGCAAGCCAAGTGGGCAGCCCACCCAGTGCGGGGGGGGGGAGTTGGGCAGCTCCAGCACTCAGGGCCCCCAGGGAGGTCCCGTGTCTCCCTCAGCCTAAGACGCCCGGCCCCTGGGGCTCGGTCCTCCCGGAGGATACTCAGGAGCGGAGGCCTCAGGACACGGACAAACTCCCTGCTGGCACCAGATGCGGCTAGAACCTGCCTCTTGGGGGGCTGACCAGGGCTACCTGTCATCAAGGCTGGCTTCAGCACTCCTCGCCCCCACCCCGTGCCTTCCTGGATGGGCCCGGATGAATAATTGTTGGGTGATTGTGAGATATTGAAAAAATGGTATTTAGCAGAGATAAGATGATCCAGCAGTGCCGGAGTAAAATAATTCAGAGTCCATGTGTGATTAAAATATAAAGTTTTTACTAAATTCTAGCACGGGAAGGGTAACTGGGATGAAAATAACAACAGAGCATAATCGGCTACATCCTTACTCTACAAAGACAAAACTAGAAGAGAGAGATAATGGCTGCTCTCCTTCTTCTTCAGAACACCAAACAAAGATGGGAAGAGAGCCATAAAATGGTAATACACCTTGACACTTTAGTCCCAATCAAATCCCTAGATCAGGGAGAAGATTCCCGGGCTTCCTACATCTAAAGAACATTGGTTACCTGAGAAACATGTGACTTCCTGTGAGTAACATAAACAAACATTTAACCCCAGATATACTGAGTGTTTTCAAATTGTAATACCCAACAATAATGGACAGCCTCCCTCGCAGGCTCCTCCACAGCGGGCTGATATCCCAGTCACCCCCTCCCTCCAGAGCACAGCACTTTGAACACACACACACACAGACACACACAAACACACACACCGATTGCTTTTAAGGGCTCCCTGGCCTGCTTTTGCAGCCGCCTGGCAAGGGAAGGTGCAAACCCAGGGTCTGCCCAGGACCCCGCTCGGGCAGGAGGGGCCGAGGAGAGCCGAGGGAAGCAAACCCCCCCCCTTTCTCCGTGGAGTCATTGGAGAGGGGAGGCTCCTCTTTTCGCCGGAAAGGCAGAAGGGCAAGCTCACCACAGGCCCAGCTGGAATGGGTGCTCTTCTGTTTTCTTTCTGGTGGATCAACATCCAGTCTCATAAAGAGCCCTTTGGCACCCGGCAGCGGCCAAGGGGGCTGGCCAAGCATGGCTGTGCCACCTGCCTGCTGGCTCCCCTGAGCTGTGCCAGACTTAGAATCATAGAATCATAGAATGTTAGCGTTGGAAGGGACGTTGCAGGTCATGCAGACAGACACCCCGCACTCTGCAGGAGCATAGCCGAAAGAAAGCCCTACATACCTACAACATACCCGGAAGATGGAAAGATAAATAATATGCATAAAGGTTCTTTATGCACAGTATTTATAGTCCGCCTTTCTCACTTGGACACCAGATGGATTACGCAGACTGCGTCAAGACAACTGACGGCACAGAGCATGCTGTGATCAATGCGGGAGCGTGAGGGCTGGAGGGGTCCGGGACCAACCAGAAACCGAAAACATAAAAGCGAAGCATGGCATAACTATTTGACACGGCGGTTGAAAATGTGCAAAAACCACACGGTGGGATCCAGCGTACAATAAGCTCTACACAGCAGTACAGACCACGGCCCCTAATCCTCTATCCAAGTAACTTCCTGAATCATTTTGCATGGAGCAACCCTCTTACCGGTGCAGAAAAGCCCTCTGGAAGGATTCCATTCCCCCTAGAACAAAGTTTGAGTCCAGGGGCAGCTTTAAGTCCATCAACCTTTCATCCGGGGCGCCAGCTTTGGTGTGCGGGCACACGGACTTTGTCCTGTGGCTTCAGACCAACCCCTGAATAGGTTCCCCCTGGTTTGCAGAAGGCCAGAGGGGAGGGGGCGCTGCCCTGACCTCCTCGGGCAGCCCCTTCTGCATGGTGGGGGCCACAGGCAGGTGCTGGTTCTGCCCATTGGCGGGTTGGCACAGGCAGAAAGCCCTGCTGAGACGAGAAAAGCAAACGGCCTTGGGTGCAGGAGGCAGCAGGGCTGACCCAGCCGGGTCACACTGCGGTCGAAAGCGTCTTCATTCCAGGTGCCAAAAGACAGGCCAGACAAGTCCCGACGACTCTGAGCAGCTCTCACGCTGCTGCCTGAGCAGGGCCCTGCTGGTTCCTCGGGCCAGGCCAGGCAGAAACACACCCAGAATACAAATGTCTGTATGTGGAATAAACCCCTCCGGCTCGTGCTGCTGCTGCTGCTGCGCTTGGCTTCCCCACGCTCACTCTGCGGACTGGTCCTCCACCAAAGAGTGGCACATCACGGGGCAGAGACGCCAGGGCCCTTCGCCCAGCAGCCGCTTCCCAAGGGGGGCGCAGGAAGAGGGAGGGAGGCTCCAGCCAGGCACGGCCTTGCTGCTGCTGCTGCCGCCACAGAGCCAGGCGCCTCAGCTGAGATTCACGGCCTGAGAATGAGGCATT